AGAGAGAGAGAGAGAGAGAGAGAGAGAGAGAGAGAGAGAGAGAGAGAGAGAGAGAGAGAGTCAAATTCAAAAGAGAGACTGACAGAGAGACAGATGCCAATAATATATTGGTGGTGTTGATGATGAACATGGCAAGAATAGTGTTAATGGTAACTTTGTGATAGCAATGTAAGTAATTACCGTGGAAATACATATTTATAATGATACTGACGATGTAATGATGTGTTGAAAGAAAGATAACACATACTTAGTGCAAAAAAGTATCGACATATGAAAACAACACTAAACACCAGGATATAAAAGTCTACGGGCATCACCCGCCCACATTCAACTTACCCACCACTGTCAGTAACATGTTGTCCAAGACGAGAGAGAAATAGACGATTAAGATCACGATTAATCTGCTTCGCCTCAGCCTCTCCACCTCCTCTCTGAAGCCTTTCATGTCCACCTTCCGCTTCAGCATCTTTCTGCTGAAATCGGAGCATGATGAGATTATGTGTGTTTATTGAAAATGGTAGATAAATTAGCGTTTAGCAGCATGGTAAACGTCTTATATAAAGATATAAACAGACACACATATATACAATATGCGCTATATACAAAATCTTAACATGACAATCCAAATCAAGATTTTTATTTTAAAAGTACCCAAAACAAACCAAATGTAATAAAAAAACCTACAAATTAGAATCTTTGAAACGTATGTAAGAAATATGTCTCCTTAGGGCTATAGAATATGGACATAGAGAAGATAATACAGTAAACAACACATCTCAAAGCTTTGGTAAATAAAGCAAATGTACTGGTCATCATTTGCAATTGCTCCCTTGTAACTGGTCCTTGAATTTCCGTATAGTTTATGATTAGATATTTTATCTTTCTGATCGAGGAGGAGGAGGAGGAAGAGAAAAAGTAATAGGAAGAGGAGGAAGAGGAAGAGGAAGAGAAAGAGAAAGAGAAAGAGAAAGAGTAAGAGTAAGAGAAAGAAGAAGAAGAAGAAAAGGAAAAAGAGGAAAAGGAAGAAAAAACAGAAGGAGAAGGAGGAGGAAAAGGAGGAAGAAGAGGAAGAAGAGGGAGGGGGGGGGTAGGAGAATGAAGTGGAGAAGGAATAGAAGGAGTACGAAAAGAGGATAATGAGATAGAAAGATAGAAAGAGAGAGAAAGCAAGAAAGACAGGGGTAAGGAGGAGAAGAGAGAGTGGCATGGATATAGAGAGACAAATAGATTGATAGACAGATCTCTCCCAGTTAACGAAAAAACATGACAAGTTTACCAGCAAAATTTAATCCCTAACTTAAACACAAAGCACTCAAACAAAACAAACACACACACACACACACACACACACACACTCACACACACACACACACACACACACACACACACACACACACACACTCACACACACACACACACACACACACACACACACACTCACACACACACACACACACACACACACACACACACACACACACACACACACACACACACACACACTCCCTCAATCCACGTAGACTTAATCAAACAGAGGTGCATATTGGAAATTCATCCACACAGCTGATGGAAGGAAAGATCTCGACTTTTTTTGAATTTGGAAGAAACATTCGCCCACACATTATTATTTTTCAAAACGCAGCATCGAAAATCCAAGTTTTCATTGCGTCGTGGCATGTTATGAATTCAATCTATTTATGGTAATTTAATTGCTAATAGAGTTAGATCAAAGGTTTTATCAATATCATTATGGATCCTGTTACTGTTATCATTTTTGTTATCATGACGATGGCGAGGATAAGGTCTACTGTTATCATTAAATTTACTGGTAGCATGATTATCATTTATATACCATTATCATCCCTATTATTGTAATTATGATGTTATACCATTGCTATCGTTGTTATTATTATCACAAGGGGAATAATGCTGATAATAGATGTTATTTTCATTAGCATTTCATCGCTAGTAATAACTTTATTATATTAATTTTCGTTATTGTCCTAAGTTTTATGATTATCATTATTATCTTTACTGTTAATATTATCCTTATTACCATTTTACTATTTGTATTAATATTATCAATATCATTATCGTTATCGTTATCGTTATCGTTATTGTTATTGTTATTGTTATTATTATTATTATTATTATTATCAATATTATTATTATTATTATTATTATTATTATTATTATTATTATTATCATTATTATTATTATTATCTTATTATTATTATTATTATTATTATTATTATTATTATTATTATTATTATTATTATTATTATTGTCTTTATTGTTATTATCATTATTATTATCATTATCGTTATCATAATCAATATAATTGTCGTTTTCATTGTCATTACTATTATCATTGATAATATCGATGCCATTATCATTATTATTATTATTTTTGTTATCATAATTACTTATTTTTGTTATTATTATAGTTATTTATTATTATTATTATTATTATTATTATTGTTATTATTATTATTATTAT